CCCAGACAGTTTCTCTAAGGAGGTTGGTCAGTACACTGGACCCTCACCAGTAACATCAAATCATCACCAACATCTGGATTTTGAATTTCACGTACACTCAAAGCTCATTCAGACTTACTGTATTTTCCTCACCTCAGAAATATTTTAAAAATCAAACTTTTACTGTAATTCAATCATCTTGGACTTTTAAACACACTTTAATTTTCTTCTGCCTTTATTACTACAGTTCACTTTTCACATGCATCTCTCAGTCTGAAGGATTGCAGTTTGACATGAGGTATGGAGATACCTCATGTCAAACTGCAATCCTTCAGACTATTCTTGTTTTAAATGACTGATGAAAACACATTTTTATAGGTTTTCTTTTTATGTGTCTGAGCATGTGTAATTCAATGTGTGGCTTTAACTCAAACTGTGAAGCACTGTAACTCTGTTTTAAAAAGGACTATATAAATAAAGTTATTATTAATCCTATTATCACTTAAAATTACACAGTTACAATATTTATAGAGCATCACAACAGCAACAATTGCAAGAAAAGACAAAAAATGATTATGGAAATAGAAACATTTTATTTTATTTTTTTATTTTATATTATTTTTGACATGGAAAAACCCCCACAAAGACTTGATGTTTGGTCACATAAAAGGGTGGAAAGTTGATTTCTGTATAAGTATCTCTGACTCTGCTTGCAATTTTGTAATAAAGATTAAACAGTTGTTTTTACAGCAGTGCTTCTAGATTTTCACGTCTTCACTGAGTAGAAAATAACTTGTTTTTCAGGAGTCTGACTTCAGTTGAGTGTTTAACTTGTTACATCCTAAACAGACAAAACAGGTAATACAAGTCCAGCTTCCAAATAACCGCTCTTTGATTTCATTGGTGGTTTCATGGTAGTAGGAACGAAGGCGGTCACTCATCATGGAACTTGGGTAGCTTGTCACCAGGTACAACCACATGCTCCACCCCCTTTTCTGTTACCACCACCAGGTGAGCGACACCCCCGCTGACGTTGTCTCTGCCCATGGCCAAAGCAAGAGCTGTGAGCAGAGAGAAAAGGATGAAGCAAAAACAGGGCAGGAGAGGAAGAAAGGCAGGAATAAAAATATTATTTGAGTTGAACAGTAAGAGGTCATCAGTTTCCAGCATATATACAACTTGTAACATTTACAACTGTGTCACCAACAAACACGAAGTTGGATTTTTCTATAACATCGAAACACCA